AAMTTAACTCTCAATAAAAACAGAAGGATGTTTACACTCCGCCATCATTTTGATCACGTRATTTGTTTGTCTGCTATTTACTAATGTCAGTTCTACGGCAATTGGATCAGTATACATAAACAGTTTATGAAGAAAAGCAGGATTACAGCGTTTATAGCGTACATATTATAATATCTCTATATTGTTCAGAGACAAACATGCTACACAAATTTTAAAAAAATAAAAATAAAAAACAGTAGTCTATAAAATGACTTTGGCCTTCAGGGCCTGTCAAACTATGCAGGTACCAATACAATGCTTAGGACAGGTGAATTGTGAATTGTGAAATAAAGTATTAAGTGCATAAGAAGAAAACATAGCCGGGGGCATTTCCCCTGGATCTTGTTAATAAATAAGAACAATTTTCAAGTCAGTCAAGTTTTTTCTGGTTTATTTTGCTATGAGCGAAGTGTGTATGGTGATTGCATGACGTCTTCATTGTGTCAATTGTTTTAATTATTGATAGGAGAAATTAAGTTAACTACTTCCTCTTCAATGGAAGGGGTGGGGAGAGTCTTACACTTGATATTGCTATGCCTATAATTACTCTATAATTGTAACAAGTTTATTCCAATTATTGGGTGTGTCACCACCCCCTGACAACGGTTAGATATATTTTGAGTACAGTAGGTAGATATCTCTTAACGAGCTTCGATGCGAAGGATGGAGGTGATTATAGATATCAAATTATCAGCAWKTTTKTTGTTGTTTGCGATTTCAACAACAATTTGCAGCATGATAGACMSATCAGACCGAGAGAAAGACCTCGTGTTCGATTYCCATCTTTCGAAGAAGCTTATTTTCCCATTAGATATTAACGYCCAACAGAAGTCTGTTTTAGTTGAAGGAAGTTTCGAATGCGTTTTCTCCTGCATGAGYGAAAAGTGGTGCCGATCCGTTAACTACAAAACGAAACCCCAGAAAGGAGGGCTTCATCTTTGCGAGTTGATATCGTTGGACCAGCATAATAACACAAAATACATGACGGTAGAAGACGGTTTCMACCACTATAGCGTTCAGGTAAGATTATCAAAGAAATGATGTCATCTTGAAGAGAATTTCGATCACTCAGCAACTGGCAACAAATAATAAACTTTTATTGAAATTATAAACTGCGATTGCTAATAAATGGATCGCCCGAAAAAAWTTCGGCCTTCAGAATCGTCCGGCTTTTTTTGCATTGTCCGCACGCAAAGACAGACGATCAATACAGTCGGGAAGTTTTTGTCATCGAAACTGCCGCTATTCGATGATCCGTGAGCCAATTAAATTTGGTATAATAGTCTAAAATGTCCCTCGTGTCTGGTCACATTGTTTTTTATTGTATTAAAAATCGT